AAATTCCCCAACCATCCTTTCCCAGCAAAACCAGGAACAGCCCGTGAATACATCAACCACCCCCAGCATACTAACACTAAAGAATTTTTAGCTATCACTTTACCCTCGTTTCCACAATACACCTTAAACACCCCTCACGACGCTAACGAAACACGCAACTTTGTAGATGAATACGTTTTAATGCCCACTCTCTCTTGGACCTCATACTATCATTTCACTAACCCTCTTTGCTTACCTTTATCCAGCACTTCCATCGATATAGAACGAAACAAAGACATGCTATATCGACTAACTACACCACTAACCGCTAGACAGTTTACTTACGTTGGATATAAAAAATCACTAAAAATACACACTGCACCTAGAGCTAATGAATATACACTAGAATACTACGATCACAACATCATCAGAGCTAACCAAGATCAATTCTTAGACGACGATCGCTTCGCTAATCCACAAATCACCGAGAAATTTTTCATCAAGACACCATATGTATTTACACTAAACATCTTCGACCGAAAGTTTGATCACATTATTTCAGAAGCACTAACAAACACACAAGCATACGAAAGTTTTAAAGAACGCTTCCAAATCTTTTCACTAACCTTTCATTTCCTTGCACCACACGAAAGAGATTTGCACTGCTCACATGATATTATGTTGCGCACTAAACAAACACATACATACAGTTACTATCGTTTCATCCAAAATCACTTTGACCTCCACACACCCTCTAGACAACCACACCATCGTTTTCAATTCATCAATTCAAAATACACTTCACCGTATTTCCTAAATTTCACATATTGTATTAAAGACACTAACCTCCATGGTATTCTTCGTAATTATGACCCCATAACCCAAATGTACATTTTCTGCCCCATCACCAAGACCTTCAACGCCGAAGAATCCCGACCCTTCCTTATCCCGCACGAGTTTGTACAGCCTATAGAAATCCCAATTTTAGAATTCATCCACAACACTAAATTTAACCACAAATTATATAACTTAATCCAAAACACACCTTATGAGTTTGCAGTAGGCACTGAAGAACTAACCACTATTAAGGCACTTCAATTGCTTTGACCACTGCTTCAGACTAAAAATATCATCCGCATTCTAGCTAAACTACTAACAACTTCAGAACTAATTCACGACATCTTCCCCCACGGTTTTTTCCCCGACGACTAACAGGTAAGTATGAATTAAGTAAATATTACTAACTAATTACAGTATTAAAAACTCACCATTCTTTATTCATGTTTTCCTTAGATTTTTAGCCTTCATCCGACGATCACCTACAAAAACCACAAAAGACAAATAAAAATCGCAAATTTCATCAAACAGATTTCAAAAATTCTATTAATCTCTTACACTCATAAATTTATAAATTTAATACCAATGCAGTAAATTCATCTATAATATTTTCCCCCAAAGCAGTAAATCTAATTATGATGAAAATTTGTATCTTAAAATTCCCCCATAACTAGCAGTAAATTTCCAAATTCTATGCAGTAAATTAATAAAATGCAATTGCAGTACTAACCTTTTGATATTTTCATTCATTCGCACAGAAATTCTATCCACACTCGCACAGCTCGCCCACGAAGAATTGTTTAAAATAATGAATTTCAGTTTCAAGTTTTCACACTCAACAACTCTAACATATAATAACATGTTTCAAATTTTCCTTTAATCCGGTTAGAAAGGAATCATATACTAAACAAAACTAACCAACGCAGCTTACTAAATACCACAAATCATAGAATAACAGCATGACTTAGAAAAGGAAACCAACGGTACCCAAACCGGATTAACCCAGTTTAAAACTGGATAATTCATTCTTTTGAAGACTATTACAAAGTCTTAGAAAGAAATAATAAAACACAAAAAAGTCGAAAGACAAACCCATACCACGAACAATTTACTTTTTGGAAAAAGGACACAACCAACGAAACATAAGAAAAACCACAACAAACCCAACATAAAACGTTGTCACATAACAGGACCCCTCACAAAAACCGCATGAAATCATACTCCCACTCCTGGCCTAACCCACCAGAAGAGGACGTCCTGAGCATGCTCTATAGCCGGCCTAACCCACCGCGCTACATCCACGCTTTGTGACCACACCTCTATTTTTAATAAGAGCTACTCAAGTGTGAGTAACTCTTCAAAATAACCGAACTAAAACAAAAAGCTTTTGTGAAAACAACTAACTAAAATCATTATTAAAAAATATTAAACTAATAAAAGTTTTATAAAATGTAAAATCACATGATGCAATATATAGATCAGAATACAACACCAAGGACGAACATCAAAAGACAAGACGACCCCACTACACTCGAGAGAGAATGACCAACTACAATCAATATGCCGCTCACAATCACAACTCAAAGGATTTAGAGTACGACTTGACCTCGCAGAAAAGGACTTCATTGAACTAGACCAATGACCACCTCGATGACCCAAGTGTACGTACAGATCCGAGTAACCAGGCATCCCCTCCACGCACAATCTCCACGCCATTCCCAAGCTAGATCAGACACAAAAGAAGTTCTCCCCGAAGAACAGAAAAACCTGACATAGCCAACCATTCTGAAATCAGAATTGATTTTGTTGCAGAGACTCAGTCGTTGTCACAAGAAGAACACAACGTCTTATGTCCCTAACTCCAGCTTCCTGAAACTTCATTAACAAAGAAGAAGCGGAAGAAAATTATGATGTTCACCAAATACCAATGTCCATCATCCATCCTTGAATTACAGAAGAACTGTTCTAAAAAACTCTGTAAAACCCGGATGGGTGGAACCTGATCTAAACTATATTTTATGATTGGATAAATTAAATGTTTTACCAATGTAAAGTATTTAATATTAACCAATCACGATCCATCTAACTAACAACCCACTTATTTGTAAGTGCTGAAGTTACTTGTAATTTCAGCACCAGAGAGATTTGAATTTAACTTAGAAATTAGTTGGACTCTCCCGAGCACTTCAGCAGCCGCAATAAACCAGTATACCCTAGATCTATTGAGCCTAGCAGAGACTAGTTAAACAACCTGAGACTAGATAGTAAAAGAGTAAGATTAGGATCGGTATTAGACTAAGAAGTTGCACGAATCTATCCGGCCGAAAATAAGATAGCGTGACGAGCAGACGGTGTACCCTATCCGAAATTACTCTATGAGTTATACACTCCAGTCTTAACTCATATAATTCGATCGTGTTATTGACATCGTGCGCAAATGTTCAAATACCGGTTCTACCGGAATTTTTGTTTTTCATTTTTTGACACTGATATAATGCCTAGAGGATATTCATCAAATTGGATGTTTGTTGCGATCAAAGAAAAAAAAATTTCGAGGTGTTTTGTTTGGTCCAAAGTTCACTTTAGATCAAACTAGATGAAAACAGCGTAGCGAACAAATACACAGCGCGGCTTTTTTTTGCGGCGGCCGAAAATGGCCACGTTTTTCTACAACTTTTATCTCGTAAAAATTTAAATTTTACGTAGAAAAAGTTGTGGAAAAACGTGGCCATTTTCAATTGGTTTCAAAGTTGGTTTTCAAGTGTAAGTTAGTTTCAAAAACAGACAAACAGATTGCTGATTTTATGTTTTTTTTCTAAATTATGAGAAGTTATTTATTACTTTGACAATTCACAATAAAAAGAATTCCAGAGTTTTGATTTTTTGAACTACTTTTTTAAGCAGCGTTGTTTCATAAAAAAGTTGTTTCATGAAATAATGATACCTGATTATTGCTGAAAATTTTATCTATGAAAAACACTGATCATTGCTAAGATTTTCATAAAAAATGTCCTTGTCTCTGATCCAGCGATAGTTATCAATGACATGCCAACCCCGATAATCAAAGATTTTTAAAGAACCTAAAACATTAGGGCTAGCGTTCTTTCGTTTTTTACATATTTGAAATTGTATGACTTCCATGTTTTTGGGTGTCAACCCGGCTTTTTGTGATTTAGCGGGGGAAAAAGAGGAAAAGTGAGAGTTCATTACTTCGTGGAACACGCGTATTTTATTTTTAAACAGTTTAAATTGTGCCAAAATACTGGCTTGCACCTAAAAACAGGTTTTCTGGTCAAAACCTTACAAAACAACCCAAAATCATAGTTTTTTTTCAAATTTTATTTGCAGCGCAAAAAATTTAGCAAAATTGGATTTTTTAAAATTTTTCAGGAGAACAAGGAAAACCAATTTAGTCGACCTTATAAAAATTGTCGAAATTTTTTCTTTTTTGGAAATCTGATGATTAGAAGATCGAGAAGATCTTTCAAAGTCTGAAATTGATGAAGGACTCTTACGAGGTAATAAAAAAAATTGGCTGAAATTTTTTAAAGTGATATTGAGAAGAAGTTTGTTCCGTTCGAGGAGCATTGTACATTTACATAGGATGGTAGCAAAATAATTGGGTAGGCAGCTGAAAGCTAATAAATTTGTTTTAAAAAATGGAAACATTGATAGCTATCATTTGTTCTTTTTAAATGGTCGCCCACGACTTTTGACTGCTAGTGTCCACATCTTTGAGTCAGCTGCTGGTTAAAAAATTTTTTAAAAAGTTTGTACAACATTGCCTGACTAAGATTATGACTATTTATCCACCGGTGAAAGGACCAACAAAAGAGCTGTTGTGCCCAACTCAAGGCGAACCGCTGTTGTGCCCCTACAAGCCTTTTTTTGTTTTTTTTTGTCGGCTGGGTAATGTTGCTTCAGCCGCAAGCAACGGGCACGGATCATGTTGGGCCTCGAACATCCGACCATTCTCCACCACGATATGTTTATTTTCTCGAAAGTTATGCCCGCATTATTTATTTTCAAACGGGCGGCCAGTTGCTGACGAATAATTTAAAAAATAATAATCTTGCAGCATTTATTGTAATAATCCGCTGTTTGCCAATAATTGTCACCAACGAAATGTAACTGCTTTTGCCCACATTGCAAAGTTATATTATAAGCGTTTTGGTTGTTTTCAGGTGTGAACTACGTCACAACGAGTGTCTGAAAACTCTGCCAATGTCGATCATTACAAGCACGTAAGCAAGAAGAATTGATCGTTTTGACATCTTGGTATCCCCTGCATTTATCTGGTTCAATAGTTTATTGCCGGTAGTTCTAAATCAAAGTATTTTGTTACAAAATGTTTGAGACAACCCTTAGAAAGTTATTAAAATTGTCTGATGACTCTATGGATGATTTTTGGCAGAGATATGACCCGGGTTACGTAGGACCTGAACAAACTGCTAATTTTTCGAAGATATTGATCAAAAAATTGATCACTTAAGTAACTTATCGTCTAAGAAAAAACCTATTTGACCAACTTGTCCATTTCATTTTAAAAAAAATCCAACACAATGGACCAAAAAGTATTTAATTAATCTTTTTTTATAAGTTTTAGGGTCACTGATAATTTATTGCCTTGTGGAACAGTTCTCTGTTTCGATTCAAATTCAGACCAAGGTCTGCTTTGCTGCTATACCAGCGAAAAAACCCTCCTCATGCTTAAAAGAACCATCTCCATTTCGCCAAGTTATGAAGTGATAGCTCAAAACGAGTCGTTCACTTCGGCGCCAATCAAATCGATCCAAATCGGTGACTTCGGATTTACCATTGTGGTGGACGTGTTTGGAATAATGTTCAAGCTTTGTTCCGAGACCCTTCGGAAAATAAGAGTAATTGATCACCGCGGTTTGAGATGCTTGTCTCCTGCCTATGGACTTTTCCCATTTTCCACGAAGTTTGCTATAATGTCTCGTGATCTGGTTTTGTTCACATGTGACGAAACTAACTCGTTTGGATTGTGGAATTTGCAAACTGGAGACGTAAAAACGTTTCCTGGGCATATTTTATACAACGAAAAAACTGTTCGCATATTTCCGTTAGGGAGATATTTTTTATTAGTGAGTCAAGATAGCTGCTTTAATGTGATTGCCAATTTGTACATCCTGAATGACCTGGGAATTGTCCAGTTAGTTGACACCATAGGGTTCATAACAGGTCAAGTCAAATGCCAACTCAAAGATGTTGAACTCAAAATTGAACAGAATTCTCGAAATGATGAGAACAGGAGAAAGAGACCAATTAAATTTGCATTGCAAATTTGAATGTAAATAAAGTAAGTTTATAAATGAAATAAATCAAAATTGTATCTCATTAATATACAGTGCTGATTTAAATTAACCGGACAAAACGAGCTAAATTTGAAATTTAAAACGCGTTTTTCTCAAATTGGGTTAAGATTAGACAAAAAGTGAAGAGGACAAAAGTTGCCAGGAATTTTATCAAAATTAATATGGTGCAATTTTCTCTTCGAAATTCTCAACCAAAAGTTTAACCCAAAAATGGGTAATTTTGGCCTTTTTCAATTAATCGGAGAATATACCCTTCTTAAAGTTTGTACGGCTACGTAAGGAGCTCACTTTGATATAATTATGTCTGTGATCGACTGAGTGTTTTTTGGCGTAATTTTTGATTAACTAAGAAAAGCCAAAATGACCCACTTTTGTGGTAAAATTTTTGGCCCGAATTTTGCGAAACGAATTACATCATATTAATTCTTCTAAAGTTTTAAGCAAGTTTTGTCTTCATAAATTTTCACCTAAATTCAACCCAATTTGAGAAAAACGCGTTTTAAATTTCAAGTTTAACGCGTTTTGTCTCCGATTAATTTAAATCAGCACTGTAGTTCATTATTGGATTATTTTTTGACAACTCTATAAAGTTATTTCAGTCTTTTAAGTTATGTTTCCTAAATGCCTCGTTTTCAAGTCAATTGCAAAATTTGTTCAAAAAAACAACAAGACTGCTCGTATCAGGGCGAAGCGCTGAATGTTCCTACTGTCTTTTAAGGTTTATGGAGCAGCAGTAATAACATAAAATAAATAATTGAACTAATAGAAAAAGAGAATTTTTCTTTTCTAAAATTTGAAATTTTTTATGAAAATCATCCCCACACACGCCATATAAAGTACGAAAAGTTAGATTTCCTTCCTTGTACCAAATCAATTATGGCAAATAAGCTTCGTTCAACCAATTTGGAACAATTTCTAAGACGGATTAAATCTCCGCTTACGCGTTCCCGGGATGACCGAAACTTCTTATCATACAATTTTCATACATGAAAAATTTTCTTGTCATACAATTCCATACAATTCCATACGTATAGAAAATTGTATAAAATCTCTATGATAAACTTTTTTTCCATTTATGAAAATTGTATAATAGGTGTTTTTCCATAAACCAAAAAGTTTGATTTTTACTTTCTAAATTTATTTTCTGAAAAAAATTTCGTTTGTGTTTGCAACCGAACTCAAGTGACAAAGACCGTGGTTACTCAAAGCATCAAAGGTTGGACGGTCTTTGATCAGGATAGCAATACCTTTTGAATGATATAATAAAATTCCGTCAAAAAAGGCTGGTTGAAAAGTCGAGATTTGTCTGAAGAAAAAAATACCACCCCGAGCACATATATTCCGTTACTTTCGTATCGAAAGTCGGAACAATAAGCCCGAGCCGCCGCTCAGTTTTTTTTTCTGAAAATCAGACACTCGCAGACTTCTCTCAATAACCCTTAAAGTCGATCCGATTTTTAGAAATTTTCAAGCTAAAATTTTCACCGGGAGCCTTTTGTGAATTTCGTCACGTAAAATTTTCAGAGATTATTTTAAAGATTTGATCATTTGATTTAACACTATTTTTGGAAAGCGAGTGATTTGTCAAAACAATATAACCCAAATTTGCTGGCCATCAATTTTCCAAATAAAATTCCAGCTGAGTGATGAGTCTATAATAATCAGGCGGTAATTCATTTAGGGCATGCAGTCTGTGATACAATCAAATCAAAGCTTTAAGTTTCAAGTTAATTTAGTCCAAAACGAACTCAAACTGGGTTTAGTAATTACATCTTACTATGCTTGTATCACTTTCAAAGTCAAAATGTAACATTTACTAACATGTGTTTAATTTTTGTCAGCGAAATAGCTGGTTATTTTGCCAACATCGCCTTCTTTCTGGTCGAAAAAAAATTCCGACAAAGTTGAGACGACATGATTATGTTTTGACAGAAATGAAAAAAAATGGACCGTGTTTTGCACTCTCGACCTATTACTAAGTGAAATGAATTGCTTTTCATCAGAAAGCCTTTCGACCACAAATTAAACAATACTTCTCGTATCAAGCGAAGCCCTGAATGTTCCGACTGCCTTTTAAGTTTTATGGAGCAGTCATAACAAAAAAAAATTAAATGAAATAAAATGAAAATTTTTTTTCTAAAATTTGAAAGTTTTTTGAAAAAAAATCATCCCCCGCACGTCATAATAACTACTAAGTGATAAATTTTGCTCCTATTAACAAATCGATTATGGCATAAAAACTTCATTGAACCAATTTGGAACGATTTCTAAGACAGATTAAATCTCGCTTACGCGTTAATAGCGCGAATTATATCGCGCGGTAAGTGTCACAAATTGGCCCAAATGGCAACCTTTAACCCCCACAGCTTTACAAAAAATGATAACAGGTGAATATCTTTTCACATTTAAGCTCAGGACAACAAAACCTTTCGAATGATTTTCAAAAATTCCGTCAAGAATGGCTAATTAAGAACTCGAAATTTGTCTAAAGAAAAAAAACCCACCCGAAGCACAAATATTCCGTTACTTTCGTATCGAAAGTCGGAACAGCAAGAATGCTCCTATCAGGGCGGAAGCCCTGAGAATTTCGGTAGCCTTTTAAGTTTATGGAGCAGTAATAACATTAAAACATAAAATGAAATGAAACAAAATGAAAAAAAAATTCTAAAACTTGAATTTTTTGATAAAAATCATCCCCCCACACGCCATATAAAGTACAAAAGGACAGATTTCGCTCCTTTTAACATTTCAATTTTGGCAAATAAGCTTCTTTCAACCAATTTGGAACAATTTCTACGACTGATTAACTCTCCGCTTACGCGTAGTAAGCGCGAAATATATCGCGTTTAATTGTCCTAAACTGTCCTCCAAAAATGGTGAAAAAAAGGCAATCTTTAAACCCCCGTAACTTTTTCTAAAATGATCAGAGGTAAAATATCTTTTCAAAATTGAGCTCAAGACTACAATATCTTTCGAATGATAAAAAAGTTCCGTCAAAAATGGCTAGTTAAAAAGAAATTTGTCTGAAGTAAAAAAAAACGCCCGGAGCACAAATATTCCGTTTCTTTCGTATCGAATGTCGCAAAAATTAGTTTTTAGTGGGCTGGATAGCCTGCCGAAAAAGACCTACAAATGCCATTAACGGTGTGCTTTTCTTTGAAATTGCCCGAGGCACAGAAAAATTGCTAACTCATGATCTTTGTAGTGTTTGGGAAAAAAGCTCAGAAAAGCAATTGGGTTTACTTTAAAAAAAATCCCGAGACGCGGAAATACTTTTGGAAACCAGTCCCCTCGAGAAAACCCTGCATGCGCGCCTGCACATCCTAGTAAGATTTTCTCGATAGGGTCGGTTTTCGGAGCTGTTTGAAATTTTAGGCGATCTTTCAGTATACCACATTGACTTCGGGGCTCTTTTGAAGCACTACAAAGATCCTGAGTAAGCAAGTTTTCTGCGCCGCGGGTGGTTTTGAAGCGCTACCCTACCTCTTAAAGACCTAATAAATATAGAGCCGAAAGGCTGTCGAAAGTGAGTTATGTACGGTTGACTGTACTCATAGAGTAATTTCAGATAAGGTACACCGTCTGCTCGTCACGCTATCTTATTTTCGGCCGGATAGATTCGTGCAACTTCTTAGTCTACTACCAATCTTAATCTTACTCTTAGATCTCCTAGCCTCAATAGATCTAGTGTATACTGGTTTATGCGAGTTAGTTTCCAGGAGGAGAACAACTGTACTCTAAAATGAATTCAAATTGCTCTAGTGCTGAAACTACAAGTAGTTTCAGCACTCACAAAAAAGTGTAATTGTTAGTTATGGAACTTGATTGGTTAGTTAAAAATAATTTATAGAATTAGAGAAAAATATTTATAACCAATTATAAATTCTAGTTTAGAACTGGTTCCACCCATCCGGGGTTTAGAGAGTTTTTACTTTTTAAATACTTAATGTAGTGAAGGACGGGTGATGTAGTTTCTTATTGAAATTGCGAGCATTGGAGAAACGGGAATTGTGACTTTTCGTGTTTGACGGAGGGAGATCGTTATGTTCGTATCTTCTAGATGGTTCTCGGTGATTGTAGTAGTCTCTTTGTGATTGTGTCAAGACTTCTGATCGATGCAATGGTGTATCGATTTCGTTAAGTTTGGAGCGTGCATGGTGAAGTTTGACTTTTTCGGGTGAGTTTCGAAGTGACTAGGATTTGTACGTGTAGTCAACATCGAGATGGCCATTGGTCTGGTTCAATGGTTTTCCTTTGGTGCGATGTTGGGTCCATACTCTAAATCATTTGAGGTAGTGACTTTAGGCAGCAAATCAAAAAAATCGTTCAGAAAAAAAATAAGCACGAGCCGCCGCTCAGTTTTTTTTCAGAAAATCAGACACTCGCAGACTTCTCTCAGTAACCTTAAAAAGTCAATCCAATTTTTAGAAACTTTCAAGCAAGAAATTGTCACCGGGAGCCTTTTGTCGATTTCGTCACGTTAAGTTTTCATGGATTATTTTAAAGATTCGATCATTTGGCTAAACACTATTCTTTGGAAAGCGAGTGTTTTGTCAAAACAAAATAACCCAAATTTGCTGGCCAATATTTTCTTAAACAAAATTCCAGCTGAGTAGTTGAGTCTATAATAATCAAGCGGTAATGAATTTAGGGCATACAGTCTGTGATTCAATCAAATCAAAGTTTCAAGTTTCAAGTTGATTTAGTCCAAAATGAACTCAAATTGGGGTTAGTAACTACATCCTACTATGCTTATATCACTTTCAAAGTCAAAATCTAACATTTATTAACATGTGTTTAATTTTTGTCGGCGAAATAGTTGGTTATTTTGTGGGCAGGGTAGCCTGCCCAAAAAGACCTATAAATGTCATTAACGGTGTGCTTTTCTTTAAAATTGCCCGAGGCACAGAAAAATTGATAACTCAGGATCTTTTTAGTTTTTGGAAAAAAGCTCAGAAAAGCAATTGGGTTTATTTTAAAAAAAATTCCCGAGACGCGGAAATACTTTTGGAAACCCGTTCCCTCGAGAAAACCCTGCATGCGCGCCTGCATGTCCTAGTAAAATTTTCTCGAGAGGGTCGGTTTTCCGAGCTGTTTCAATTTTTAGGCGATCTTTCAGTATACCACATTGACTTCGGGGCTCTTTTGAAACACTACAAAGATCCTGAGTAAGCAAGTTTTCTGCGCAGCGGGCGGTTTGGAAGCGCTACCCTCCGTTCTAAAGACCTATTAAATATAGAGCGGAAAGGCCATCGAAAGATAGTTATGTACG